GTGCAGTCATTTTGCCGAGTCACAATAAAAAAAAAAATAAAAAAAAAGTTATGTGTAGCATTGAGAATGATATAGGGAAACTGTTATATTATATAGCAATAAATAGAAAATATTATTTATCTTTTTATCTAGTTACCGAGAACCACGTTCTAGTTTTCGTAATGAATACGCTAAAGATCTACAGTACTTCAATACATGTGACATGGATCCACTTAGCATATTTAAAAAAATACATTCTATCAAGTTAAGCAGCATGGTTCTTTTTAGCTATTAAAAAGTTACTTATATAAGGTTGGTATCCTGAAGGACTTTTATTTTCTCTGTTTTGACTTAATATATTAAAAGGATCTTTTGTGAGCGGGTAAAGGGCACGTCTGCTGTTCTACCTAAATACATAACTCAATTTCACTCGAGGTGTGGGTTGGTTCTTGTTTGCATAACTATGTCCAAGTAACAGTGCGTATTAAAAACAACAAAGAAAACACACCGAGCTCGGGCGCGTGCGCCCGTCTCGCGCCCGCGCTTGTCGCGCTTGGTGTGTTGTCGTCCATATAAATACACGGAATTAGACCCGCCGACCCGGTCCCGACCCGACACACGCCCGACCCGAACCCGCTCTCTGTGTGTTTCACGGCTTAATGTGCGCATTTCTAAATATTTATACTCACTTGACAAAAGTATATTCCACAGCTCGATACCTCCAGTGAACACTACGCCAACTTAACTTTTGGATCTAAACAGATCGAACTAAACAGTTTATTTTTTGTTTTTATTTTTTTTATCTTCACAAAATTCGTTTTTTTTTCGAATTTTGTTTTTTGTTGTTTTATTTTTGTCACAAAATTCGGGGAACATAATATTAGTAAATAAATATGGATGTTTACCAAAATAACAGAAAATGTTTTATTTTAATCTATTTAGTGGACTCATTCTCAAAAATTTGAGAGTAAAAACAATCATTACACTATAATGCGCAGATTCAGAGACAGACAGCAGGATTAATAAGTAAACTTACTTAACTTTTTTTTAAAACCCAATACCATAAATATCTAACAATCATATACAAAAAAATCGTAAGGTCTGCTGACTCGATTTGCAGATTAGTTGATAAAGCGGTGGCCCTAGTTTGGCATACAGATGTAGGTTGGATTCCGGTCAGGTCGTAGGAAATTTTATTAGTGTTAGATCTTCGTATTAATATTTATAACAAACTAGTGGAATAATTTCACAAAAAAAAAAAAATAATTTCATGGTATTCACTAAAATCAATGCTACATACAAATTTATCAATATATAAATACGTACGTATGATATCAACGTCTATGCCTCAACATACCAACTACGGAGTGAAAATTGTGCGTAATGCTAATCGTGACGAAAAATTAAATTGGAGACATATAGGTACATATATCATATGTATCGTGTAAATAACTACCAAAATACCATCAAAAATGTTTTCGGAGTGATGCTCGTTTTTTAATAAATCTCACCTCAAAAGCACTTCCATCTGTCAGCGACCATCCATAACTAAAGTTATTGTCACCCAACATTCGTTTAACTCGGGGTCTGTTTCTCTTATGGTCCTCTCATTGTCTACGTCAGAGATATGTTTGAACAATCCTATATACACTATATTACAGTTTGGGCTCGGCTTCAACGGGCTCACGTGATGGGTGTACATGACCCCTCGTAGCATTTGAGCCCGGGTTCGCATGTGCCCCGAAACCCGCCGCAATCTTCGCCTAATGTTCTTGCGCATACTTTACAGCATCTGTGAAAGAAATTATTATATTAGTACCGCATAGTGGCTATTTTTGTTCAACATTTCGTTTATTCGTCTGGCACAAAGCCAGAGGCTTTTTTGCTATAGTGTTTGCGCCATTTTGGACATTTATCACTTGACAACACTTTGTTTATGTGTATGAATATGATTCCTTATTAAATATTGATTAATGAAGTATGCAGGTGGTTCAAATGAGGAGGTAAAAGAAACAAAACGTCAATCCCAGTATTGTTCATGTCGGTGTTTAGTACAGATATGTTGTTTACAACTTCTGTATTTACCATTCATTTTTTACGGAGGATTTGGGACTGGCTGGTGACTAACTTTTGTATTTCTTATGCGGTAGTGTTCATACAATGAATATACATTGTTTCAAAGTGCCAGTAGTTTTCAAGATTCGTGTGATTTTGTAAGTAGTTATGATGTAATGTGTAATATGTTGGCACATAGATTCTCCCGTTGTAGTGAGGAAGCCAAAATAACTTTCTTCAAGGCATATTGTCAATCCTTCTACACGGGTGGTCTGTGTGTTAACTACACGCAGAAGGCACTCGGCGCCCTGTGTGTTCAATATAACAACGGTTTCAAGATGCTGTTGGGACTGCCGAGACACTGTAACGCATCCTCGATGTTTGCTCACGTGGGAGTAGATGATTCTTTTCTGTGATGCGAAACAAGACGGAGTCACTATTCGCTAGACTGCGTTCTAGTCCTAACAGCATCCTGAAAACGTTTGCAGCTAAGCTCGATGCGCAGATGCTTCGTCATTTCATACAGGTTCTGGTGAATGGAGTATTTGGCGCCTCGAGCATAATAATGTGAGTTTTTATATTTTTATGTTTGTTTTTGTGGTTTGTATCTATATTTACTAACAAGTGGATCTTGGATGCCAAAGAAATTATTTATTAATTATTATTATTATGAGAGCACAGTGTGTATTTGGAGATAGCTTTCAATTAAAAAAAATGGAGAGAGCTTTCAATTTAGAAGGTAGAGTTAGTAGCACTAGAGGTTCTTGTGAAAGTGCTCGTCCAGAGAGGTACTGCCCTTTACTTGTTACTGCCGCCAAGCGGTAATGTGAGTATCAGTATAATGGTTACATTACAAATGCAAAATGACATATTAAGCCAGAAAAAAATCTATAACGGTACGCTAAATATATCAGAGGGCCAAAGGAGGTATCTCTTGTTCCTTGTCCCTAAGATCTTAGGCGGGCTTAAATGCAACAAAAAATATCGCTTAGAATGCTCACATTACCAAATATTTGTAAAATATTAACAACCTCGCAGAACTACTACTAACATTATAAACACAACTTTTGTTCTATGACTTTTTAAAAAACATAATAGCTTTTTTTTACATTACAGTAACATTAGAGCTCCTTGTGAAAGAGTTCATCCAAAGAAGTACTGCCACCTTACCTATTTCTACCGCTATGCTGTAATGTGTCATTACTGTGTTTCGATTTTGAAGAGTATGGGTGCTGTTGAAATTACAGGCACATGGGATTTGTCAACTTATGTCTCAGGATGACGGCGCATAGGCAGTTCCCTTAAACCTTTGCGATTTGATGCTCTGAGTGGCACTGCAACTGCTACGGACAGGCGTGTCGCTTACCACAAGCAAGACTTACTTGTTGCCTCAATTGTTATCATAAAAAGTACAATTCTAAAGTAAAATTAAATTTCTGAAATAATTACATATGCCAAATATTACTAACGTATTAACTGTATGCCAGATTACAAAATGTATTATTACAAAAAATAACGGAATCAAGATTGAAATACGCAAATGCAAATCATAACTTCTAGGCCATGAAAGAGAAACAAGGAAAAATTTTCCGTTATATTGGATATCAGCTAGCTGAGATAGATAGAAGGTTGCTATTTAGCTATTTTTATTTAAACAGAAACAGTCTTCTTTTTGAAAAAAATATTGTTTTCTGCAATATAAAGTTATACCCTGGTTACAATCATAATCCCTTTTGTTCAATTATTTTTATTTAGTCTTTGCAAAATGCTGAATAAACATCAGCAAACCTATTGTTTCGTACAAGGTAGATTAATTCTCTATTTACAAAAGGGTATTTAGCAAATATTGTAAAGTAAATCATTTTCTATTAACTTTGAACTTTAATATTAATTAAACACACACATTTATCATTGGACCATAAGGTCAAATGTGAAATTTGACTTTTTTTGTGTGATTGGTTTACTTCAGCTACTTTCACAGTCTAATGACATACGGCATTTTGCTTTGGGGCAATGCCGCCGATATCTGCGCATGTTAAGAAGACAGGAGTTTGACAGAAACTATATTACTTATTTGTGATATCACATTTTAGTAATACCATTGAAACTATATACTAAAAACAGTTTTGCTATAGAGGGAGGGAGCAATAACATTGGTGTTAGTCAAGATATAGAAAATTGTACTTCATATCCATTTTTAGCACGTTCATATCGATTGGTTTTAAAATAGCGGCCTATCTCAAAAACACGTAATGTATCAGGAAAATGGTTTAAAAAAACGAGCTGTATCTTTTGCGCAAAGCCGACGATTGTGTACCCGCCCAATGTTACACGTGACTATTTTAACAAGCTTGGCATATTATTCAAAATTTTGCACATTCTGAATACTGCACATATGGATATAAAACACTTTATTGTACCACAAAACAAACCGAGGTCTGATCATATTATACGTTGCTCTGATCCCAAAGCAAGTAGCTAAAGTACTAATGTTGTGGAAATAGGAAACAACGGCTGTACCACAAACACCCAGACCTGATACAATATAGAAAAGTTAGTTTTTCTACATTGACCTGGCCGGGGATCGAACCTGGAACCTCAACGATAGCGACACTATGAAAACCAATGGGCAAGCCACTCGACCACGGAGATCATCAAAACCTTGTGAAAGAGTTCGTCCAGGGAAGTACTGTCATCTTACCTATTTCTGCCGTGAAGCAGTAGTATGAGCATTATTGCGTTTCGGTTTTTAAAGGGTGTGGGTGTTGGTGAAATTACAGTCACATAGCGCATATCTCAGGGTGACGGACACAGTGGCAGTGCTCGTCAGATTTGATCTTGCCATTTGCAGCTCTGAGCGGCACTGCAACTATTATGGACAGATGCATCGCTTACCACCAGGCGCATGATTTGTCCGTCCCGTCACTTGATATCATAAAAAACCCTATTACAGAAGAATTTTTTCTATGGAAACGAATAGGCAGAAACTTCAGCTCGTATCTAAACTTTCTAATGTGGTTGTACGTTTTTGCTTTGTCATTGTTGTGAATAAATGATTTACTTTGGTTTAACCCATTATTCTTAAAAAAAAACGGCAAAAATGCAATAAAAGCAATAGGGAAACATTTAATTTGGTCCGAAAACTATTATCATTATGTACGAATTATATCTGTGTTTAGCTGTCAATACTTATTGAATATAAAGTATAGACGCGACATAAATCATCATAACACAAGAGAGCGAAACGTGTGAAACCGCTTTCGCCACGTAATACTATTACAATTTATTAAATTGCATCTATAGCCAGGTAGTCTGTTAATATATGCTTTATACTAAATGATTTTTTTTTGCAATAGAGTTTAATCAGTATGACGATTTAAAAGTGTAATTTGCTTACCTATGAAATAAAGATTATTCGACTTTGACTTTGAATAAATTATCATGTTACTTTTTATTTGAAGAATAAGGGCAGGATCAGATGATGTAACGTGTTAATACGAGTTAATACGTTAGTATGAGCAACCTTAAAACAACCTGCAAGAGCTAAACGGATCACTATCATAGATTTTTGGCTTCCAAGTACACAGAAGCTTTATAATAACAACATTTAATATAAAGTTTTTGTTACACTATAATTTTAAACATCGTTGCAAACCTTTACCTACATACACCCACTCCTTCAACGTTAACAAAACCATTATTCATTCACACCTACACCCAATTTATATTCTGTGTCCATTTTATACATAAACGTACACGTTTAATTTTTATACCTTTCTTTTAATTCCGTAATTCTTTTCCCCTAAACAATGTTGCTTTACGATGAAAAAAAACATTTGTCGTTTATTTAAAAAATTTGTTAAGTAATTACTTTAAAACATTAACATTCACTTTCTACTCTGTTAAAAAAGCCAGACATTGCAAATTCCTCCTATCATCAATAGAAGATATAACTTCGTGCACAAATTATAGCTTATGTTGGTACTGAATTGATTGACTATGCGACGTTCATAATTATACTTACTTCTTGAATATACAGTGTGTTTTTTTAACTGAGACAGTACGGGGAAATCTAAAACCTTAAGAGATACAGGGAACCTGTCTTAGGATTCATCAAGTTTTTTTTTTTGTGAAATCTATTTTGGCATAGTAAATTTTTTGGTCGAGCGTGAGTTGTCCGCAAAAGTGAATAAAATTGATAATTTTTTTAGTGCTGATCGACTCAACAAATTTTATATAATATTTTTTCATACAAAGTCAATCAGTATTTAAAAAAACTAGGTAAGTTTATTAATTTTGTATGTAAAACATACAAATACATATGTATAAATTTGACCAACTTCTGTTGTCCCGATTATTTCTTATTTTTTAAATTTAATGTATGGACAATGGCACATCAGACTACACGTTTTTGTCGAAAATCGCCTCCAGTGCAACGGAACATGATGCGTCAATGTGCATTGGCATGTGACCAAAGTTGTTTTCACAAAAAAAAAATACATAATGGTTCTGACAGTTTCCCTATATCTCCTATAATTTCGGATTTCCCCATATTGCCCTATTTCAAAATATACACTGTATATTTTGATCGATCCAGAAAGGGTATATTTGTAAGTCAGGCGATT